TGCTTATCTTATATCCAGACCTTGAACATAAAAGGCATTTTATACCAGCAATTGTTCATTTAATGAGCAATTGCAGAGTGCAGGCCGGTTAAGGGATTGAGCTATATGCACTATTATTGCAAGAAGTATTCCGAAATACCAGAAATAGGACGTAAGCTCTGATCAGGGAGACTGCGAGCACAATTACCTTCTTTTCAAATCCTTCTGTGACACTGCGGGAGGAAAAAGGACTTTGAAACTTGAAAGGAAAGAGCTTGCTTTCAACCTCAAAAGCTAGGAGGAAAGGGCTCTGAAATTTGCTCAGAATTCCCAATTCACCATTAGCCTGTTTCTTCCTTTAGCCTCAAGGCATTCTCCGCTTTTTGAAAAGATGTTAAGAAATTCAGTCACAATAGAGAGCCTAGTTTTGAACATGTTTCACTCGGTCCATTGAGGTCTAGGCTCCAGCCTTTGTGTGGGGTGAATTGAGCTGAGCGGCTAGCTGGTTGGAGAGAGGTGAATGAGGAGTCGCTGTGCACTCGCAAATTCTGGCAAAGAAAAAAGCTCACCCCTTCCTTTATTTTACAATATGCATTCCTGTACAATCCTGCTAGTGGCAATATGTGGAGCGGAGCCTGTTCTTAAGTCAATACAGAGTACTTGGTTTATAGCAACTCTTGTTAAGTTTGTCTTGTAATTGAAGCTGCTGTTGACCTTGCTTGGGGACCATTTGTAAAACCGTTTATTTAGCATAAACTGAAATAATAAACCCTCCTTCTCTCGGGCTGATTGTGATAGGGTGACATTAGTTTGATTTAATGATTAGCCGCCTGACCCTTCTGCTGGAGAGAGAGGCTTGAATAGGGAGAGTTCACTCGGAAGCACTCAGAAAGAATACTAATGAGCTTGTTAAATTTAGCATGGCTCCAACCACTTTTAATTCCTCTAATGGGAGCAGCACTGCCTGGGAGAGGGAGAGGGAGAGGGAGGCAGAGAGACACCGAGAATGTTCCTAGAGGGTCTGCGCAGCTAGAGAGAGCTCACCAAAAGAAGTTGGCACAAAGTAGCTAGCCAGAGCCTGGGGACTGTGTTGTAAGTATTGTCTGTTCTCTTATACTCCCCGTCTTCTAGGTCTTGGGACAAGAGAGGAGTAGTAGTATTAAAATGGGTTTTAAGGGAAAAATCAATCCTAAGGGGGAAAAGGGGGTGAACAGGTATACTGTGAGCTCCTAATCAGCAAATTTTGTTAGCTGACAGGAGGTGTCCTTAGTTAGTGATGCCCGGCAGAGTTTTGTTTTTATCTGGAAGGAATCGCCAGAAACTTTTCTCTCAAGTCATGGGCAGAAAAAAACAAAACAAAACAAAACAAAAAAACCCAAACCTGTTTCTTCGGTTACCATGAGAAATCGGATAGGTGTTTGTCTGCAAGCGCACACAAGTGCATGTTCGAGTCCTGCTTCATGAAGCAACGTGATTACTTTCTCCAGACCTTTATTGCAATCATCCTAAGCATTGTTTGCAAGGACCCCACTTTTCTTTTTTTTTTTTCTCTCAGTTTCTAGCACTAAGAGTATCTTGATGTCAGTTGCTTTTGGATGAGTTTGGAAATTCTGGGACAGTTTCTAAAACGTGCTGCTTTGGGCAGCTCTCTGGGGGCAGGGATTTGTTAACTTCCACTTGAGGATGGATATGCAAAAAGGAGGAGGTACAAAGTGGGACTATGATGACAGTATTTAAAGTCATTTTTTTCCTGAAAGATTTTAGTGAATTGCATGTTTCAATTTGACCCCCGAGCTTGCAGCTGTTAAACATAGAGAAGCGGGAACAGTTGCCTTGTGTTTGGCTGTTAAAGTCCATTGGCAGATGCTCTTGGAGCAGTGGGCTGTTTGCTTACATTTTTGCAGCAGACTTCTGCCTGTTGCCATGGTGGACAGTGTGTTTCTGTCAATAATTTGGCCTGGCGTAGCCTGTCTGCACTGACTCTCAAACTTTATTGAACAACTCGGCTCAACTGAACAAGATTAGACAGCTTTCGTCTTTTGGCTTGCTGAAGTGGTTGCTAAATTTATAAGAGCAGGCAGGAATATTGCTTGGAAAGTGTCCCTTTCCCTGTATACAGAGTTCTTTCAAGCCTCGTAACTGTTTGTATTGTGGAGTGTGTGTACTGTCAGGTTTTCATATGAATGCCCGTCACAAGCAACTTGGTACAGGAGGTAAACTTCATGAAGTATTTGTCTGCTGGAGTTTTCCTTTTGGGGCGGAGATGTGTGGTTGGGTAAAGTTAGGATAGCACTGACTATTGTAAAAGTAAGTTTCCTGATGGAAGTTTTCACATTAAAAAAAAAAAAATCTTGCCTGTATTTAACTTTACTAAGGGAATAGTAATTTTAATTTAATTTTTTCTGTGTTAAAAATGTGCACTTCGCTAACTTCTTGTTATAACTTTAGTATTTACTTTTGTTGGGTGAACTCTCATTAAGAAAATCACTGAGCTAAAAGGTAGCCTCATTTCCACTCACCCTCCCCACTCAGCTAGCTGCCCCATTACCCTCTCTGAGCTTATTCTCTCAAGAGGTTGGGGGAATGGTGGGAGGACTCTCTGGTCAGGCCATAACCCGTTCATTATTCAGTTATTTGTGAGGTTGGATTCAAATACTCATCATAAACACGTAGTTTGTAAGACAGAGTTTATTATAGGGATGCCGTTTTAAGAGAAGAAAAGTTAATTTCTTCTAGGACGATTAAGTCAAGGAAATCCTGTTTTAAACCTGGAACAGGTTAGCCGAGCTTGGTTATTCATCTTTCCCAGAGAATGCTAATTATGTGTCACAGCCCCCCTGAGGAAGGGTTTTCTAGCCTCCAAATGAAGGTCCCTTTCTACAGAATTTGCACTTCAGTGCTGGAAGTTCATTTCAGATTTAAGCTTGAAATAAAGGCTTTATACAGAGCACAAATTAGTGGAAAATATGACTTGGGCCATTTGTAGGTTATAGGAATATTTATAAAACTGATGTAAGTTTTAGTGTTTTGACACCCTTTTGCTTTTACATAACTGCAGCATTTTTATATAAACTGTGGGTTTTCTGCTAATGAAGTACAAGGGTGGCCTACTGCCTAAAAGTATTAGTTAGAAGGGAAAGTAAAAATGTATTTTATCTTTTGTAGTTTGTTTTAAAATTACCAGGAGCGTGGTGTGAATTGCTTTCATAGAGATCAATGTGAACATGTGGGATTACAGGATATTTTTGTTTTTGTTTCTGTTTTTACTTGATAGATTAAATGTATAATTTACCCCTTAATTATAAGGTTTGGGATGAGGATCTGCACAAGACAATATTAAAATAATATTTCACAGTTACCTTTAGTAGTCAGCAAATTCTCTGTAAAGACCAAAACATACCTCATTGTCTATTCTGTTTTGTAAGTCATTTGCTAAGGTAAGGAATATATTGCTTAGTTTTCAAGTCCTACACACAGGCAGAAAAACTAAACTCGCTACTGGCTTTAGGTAGTTCAAGTCCTGAGTCAACATAAATAGTATTTGTTATTTTCAGTTTGTATTTTTATGCAAGTCTGTGTTTACAGTTCTACTTCCTTCTGACTTTGAGCAGGGTTATGAAACTGCTAAAGCATTATTCTTCTGTTTATCGGGGGAGTCCTTAGTTAATCATATCTGCTTTATGGATTATTTTGAAGATAAATTTGTATATGGGAATAAGATGTGTTCAAGATCTGTTTATCTAAAATGCACAACAATGGTTTTCTTTATACCCAAATACAGTTTTTTTGTTGTTTTGTTTTGTTTTCGTTTTTTTTTAGATAGGAATAGAAAACAGTTTTTACATTTGATGTCTAAGCGGTACCTGGACAGCAACTTTCTTTCCATCAGCGCTTGTCTGCCAGAGCACAGTCTGTTGATTAAATGTGGAACTTGTTTGGGATCATGTAGTTTAGAGTTCACGTATGATTCAAAGAGATGAATTGGTCCACTTGTTGTGGGTTCACATAGTCTGTGTGATTTAATTTTATGCATGGGTTCTTTGATCCACTATTATAGAAAGGTCATCCAATCACATTTGCAGAGAATCATAGTGGAGAGATGGAAAGTTCTTACTGATCAAAAGGAACTGAAGTATTAGGAAACTGGAATACCAACTGTATATGGAATTTCTTCAAGCTGTTTCTTACATCTTTGAAGAAATGTATGGACCCACCAGAACATGGACACATATCAACATCCCCCATACCTACCTTCCTTCCTCACCCTCAGAGCCATCTCACATCTGGACTTTCAGTCTCATTCTGTTTTCCAGTTAGGTCTCAGCTTTGTTGTATGGACAGAAGCAAGAAGTATCTCACTAGAGGCTCTGTAGGTTTTCATGATTGGCACCTTTATCCCTTGTCACCAATGAGTTTTCTGTTCCATTTTTGGCTCTGTCAAATCTCTTGCTGGGCTACAAATCTGACTTAAAACAACAAAACCACATAAACTTTTGGATAACTTCCTAGTAGGTCATTCTCTAGGAGCAAAGGCCCTACACCCGCTGGAGCAACCAGAGCCTCAGTGGGTAGCTGGAAGGACTTTGTGTCACCCCGGAGGCCCCGCATCCCCAGGCAGGCAAAGGGAAGCTGCACATGCACAGTCTTAGATTGGCAAAGGTTTCAGTTCCATGTAGGACCTGCAAGATGTTGGACAGCCCATGAGCAGAAACCTCACACGCAGATCCAGCTAGAAGCTGGTGATGCCAATTTGCCGACCCCTACATCTCCGTTTAATAGGCTCATTACCTGCTCCCCTTCATCCTTCCCTGTGTATTTGTGTACTTTGGACCCTCATTCATAAACAATTTTGTCTTGCAAAGATCCCGTCCCAGCCCTGTGGCTTTCAAAGTGGCTGTGAATGAGAAAGAGACTTTTTTTTTCCAGGAGAGGGATATTGAGAATGAGACCTCATTGATCATGGTTTTTTAATTGCTCCTTAAAGTAGTTTACAGACTCTTTCATTTTTCTTCTTTCTTTAGAGGATGAAAGTCCTGGACAGACTTATCACAGAGAGAGAAGAAACGCAATCATTATGCAGCCACAGAATGTCCAGGGGCTCAGCAAAGTCAGTGAGGAACCTTCAACATCGAGTGACGAGAGGGCCTCATTGATCAAGAAAGAGATCCATGGGTCCCTGCCACACCTGGCGGAGCCCTCTGTGCCGTACCGTGGGACGGTGTTTGCCATGGACCCCAGGAATGGTTACATGGAGCCCCACTACCGTAAGTGCCCATGCCAGTCAGCACTTGTTCAGGAGCTATGCAGAGGGCTGTGTGTGTGTGTGTGTGTGTGTGTGTGTGTGTGCTTTATGAAGTTTTGGCTTGTATAATTTATTAAAAGGTGTAATTTTCTTTTTCACTTTCCCTCTTACTTTCACTACTTCCTACCCATTCTTTTTAGAGAGAGTTGTTTTCTTACATCTCTAAGCAACGTCAGTCTTCAGTGGGGCGGCCTTCAGGAAAGTGGTCCATTGGTGACTAATCCACATGAGCCTTTTGTTGAGAAGTAGAGCTAAAGTTACTCCATCCAAACAGATGCTGCAGGAGAAAAAAATTGTTGTTATGAAGTTATGAAAGCAGGCTACATTAAGAGAAGTCCTCAACAACCGCAATTCCCATTTTTAATGATTTTTTAATTTAATGATTTTGGCTATTCCCATTTTTGATGGTTTGTGAGAACAAACCTTATTTAAAAAATCTGTGCTAAATTCCTCAATACGGAAGATTTTTCGTTATGCTGTATTTTCCTCTCTAACCAGCATGCCAGACACATCAGAAACTCCTTTCTCAGCACTAATCACGTTTAAGAAATTAACTAGGACTCTGAACTCAAGTATGGGATGGTTTTCTCCAAAGGCAGAATATAAAGAAAAATGTATAAGGGTTGAGTTTATTTCTGGCCTGTTTCTAGTTAAAAAAATACAATTTGGTTGTGGAGTAATGAAGTTCATATTGAGGTGCCAAAGCTTGCAGCTCTTGATTACAGATTTATCACCTTGCCAGGATTCAGACTCGCCATTTAACCTTCCCGGCTCCAATTCCAGATGATCCATTGAGCTCCAGTGAGGGGGACTGGTTTGTGTTTCCCCTTTTCCACATCATTCAGAAATTTTAGTGTTTTAAGGCAAAAGGTCATTAGCCAGATGACTGATTAGTGAGGACAGCTGATTAGTGCATGTTTTTTTGCTCAAGAAAGTGCCCAGGATAAAAGCTAATTTCATCCCTTCATTAGTTGGCTTGCAGCAAAGGGAAATGCTCACTCCTCAGATCAAAGGGCCTCGCATAACCTTAAGTCTCAGCAACCACTACTCCCCACCCCCCACAATCAGATTATATTGTTGGAAAAGATGGAAGCTACATTATTTTTTTTTAAGTGGAGAGTGCATTTTTTAGAAAGTAGTCAGAAGCACGGAGGAGAGTTTTCTGGATTCTTCTAAGCTTTCGAAAAAGATTACAACTTCTCTGTTTCAAAAGTGGTTATCAATCTTATTTCTGTAAATACAGAAATGAGGGGGAAGGCTATTGGGCTGGTTCCTTCCTTCATTCAGGATTTACTTAGTTTTATTTTATTCATCTTTCCTTTCAGGAATGAAGGTTTTAAATAGTCTTGGTAGGCTTTTTCTCTGGGTACATTCCCAAGTTTTCTGCATTATATTTTTATTTGTGAGTCTCTTTTAAACATCATCCACGCAGAAAATCTGAGGGACTCCGACATGCTTTCTACCTATATTTATAGACCCAGGTAGTAGACTTACTTTTTAAGAAAAATTTAGGCTAGACTCTTAGCCAAAGCTCCCTGCATTGTTTTTGTTCTTATGTGTGAACACAAACTTTTCCCATCTCATATTTATGTTTTGTTGTCTTTTCAAGATGCCCAGTAATTAGTGAGGTATTTAATTAGTCAGGACAGCTGATGAGTACTTCTTCTTTGGCTGACAGTAGTGAGCAGATAACCGTTAACTTACTCTCTGTGCCATTCAACTTGCAGCTTGTTCTTGGTTCGTTTGTTTTAACGGTTTCCCCCATAGAGTCTTCCTGTCCTTTGAGGGGCTGGGAGCTCTCTACACCTGGGACCCTCATCCTCCCTCAGCGGTGCAAGTGGGACCCATCTCCAGGACCTCCAATTTCCTATTAACTAACGGTGGGCATGGGAGAACTCTTAGGGGGATCTGAATTGATCGATCATCACTCTCTTTTGAGGTTACAGCATTCATAGTGGGGTATTGATTAGATTTTCCCACTGTATTGTTCAAATCAGTGTTAAAATTATGTGATAACTTATAAACTGCGTAAGCTGTCTGTAACCAAATGGTAAACGCGATTTTGACCTACCATCCCAGTGTACTCCCTAAATTGGTCATAAATTACATGATTATATAGATAATATGGACGGGAAATCCTAAAGACTGCACAGATTGGCTCAGTGCTCAGGGAATTTGGGTTCAACGTCCAGCTTTGTCACTTGCTGGCTGTGTGACCTTGACAAGTGTGCTGATCCCTCTAGGAATCCTTTCCTCGCTGTGGGATGGGGCGATAATATGACTGCCTGCTCCATGGTGTTCTTGTGGAAGTTGAGACAATGCAAATAAAGTATTAACTAAAATCTCTGGCACATGGTAAGTGCCTCAAAAGTACTAAGGTAGTTCTTCTCTGCTTTCTCTTCCTCCTTCTCCCCCTTTTTGCCTTCTCTTCTACATCCTCATCCTCCTCCTCCTCATCAGTATGTGATAAGTTGACTCTCTAAGTCATGTTTGAGAGGGTTGCACTCGTATTTGATTCAGTGTAGACTGTTTTTTTTTTTTTTTTCTTTTTCCGCCAGACCTGGTCACCTGCTTGCCTGAGACCAGTTTCTTCTATAACACAGATTGGGAACTGAGCAAACTGCAAACCTGTAACTGTGGTGTGGTTAGAGCTGTGCACTGTGGCCTTCTGAACATAATCTTTCTCAGTCAACCTCAGTAGATAGACTATAATTTATTGTTAAGTAAGTGAAGAAATTGTAAAGATTTTAAACAAGTTTGAAAAGTGTTAACTTTTAAATTCTTAGCAGAAAGTGTTTTGTATAACACATGCAAACTTTAATACATACAGGAACATAAAAGATACGGTATTATTTATTCATATTGAATAATTTAAAGATATCCTAAACTAAGCCTCAGCGTCATATGGGATATGACTTTACTTTTTCTTTAGAACTCTGTTGGATTACTTAATCTCCTACCAGTATCACAAGTATTTTTTAAGACACTTTATAATAAAGTCTGTCTGCTCACATGGATTTAATTATCCAGGCAAAGCTAATGATTGATGTGAACTGAAGGTGATAAATTTTCCATGAATTTTTTAGTGTATGAAGAAATACCTTCTTTTGAAAATGAGACGTACAGTTTTGGTCACATTTGTTTATCTTGTGGGTATAGTTTGTCTTGGTCCTGGGCCCTGTCAACAACACAAGCGCACTGCAGACCTTCAGTAGCTCAAGTTTAGAGACATCTTTTTAGGCCATTCCCCTTGCCCTTGAGTTATTTGCTAGCTCTGCTGAGCCGGTCAAAAGAAAAGACTCCTCTAATCCAGTGGGCTGGCCATGTGAACACTCACAGCAATTCCTTCATTTCTCTGTGGTTGGAAATTGTAGACTTTCCAAGATGCCTAATTTGTGTTTCTATATATATGAACTTTGTATTTCTAAAGTGTGGGCAGGCTTCCTGTAAGACCGGAAAAGGGAAAACCGTTTTTGTTTTTTTTTTCTCCCCCTTCAGAAGGACATCTGTAAAATTTTTATTGCACAAGATTTTATTATATTTGGGAATGCAATGTTGCATCTTCAGAAATTGTAGTTAGGCAAAAATCAAAGTATTTTAGGTTTTGTGGCTTAAAAAAAAAAAAAAGAAAAAAGAAAGCTCAGGGACAGCGGGCACTTCAGACATTCACAGCATATGTTTAGAATAAAATCCTCCCCGGGGGATAGGGGTTTTTGCTCATGAAGAGTCACAGTGGATGGGCTGTATATCAAGGCGCGAAAGTAGACGTTTTAGATGCATGGCTCAGGCATGGCATGGTGCTGACAGGCTCTCGGTTACAGGATCACTAGCGCTTTATAGTTTGGGGGAGCATGGGAGGGGTTAGATTGAAGGACCTGATCTTCTTGTATCAGAGTCAGGGTAAGAAGCCCCATCCTCTGCCCAAATATTCCTCAGCAATTTTCTTCTGCCCATGCTCTGTGTGTAGCCAGGTATTTCAAACCACCATCTCTCCTTGCTTTCATTGACTGCCATGCGTTTATCTTCTATAAACTTTCAAAGGCAGGTGACATAATAGTTAAAGCATTCCTGTACCCTGGCCGACACTTAACTTTTATTCACTTCCCTCTTACAGAAAACATGTGTTGCATTGTCTTCTGTCTTACTGTGAAGTCTTTAAACTATTCCTGCAGGGATCTTTGTGCAAAGTTCCTCGGATTCACTAGTCATGTCATATTATAGGGTCTCTGCTGGTTTTGGTAAAGGGGGCAGAAAGATGCCTCCTTTTTAGAAAATTTCAGGTCTCCTTTACAGTTTTATAGTTGTGGAAGGCTGCTTTTCTTCTGCCCCCAACTGCTCCTAAGCAGTAATTCTTCGTGGAAAATATGATTCATTCTTCCATGCAAATGCTTTGATTGAAAACATACCACTGGTATTCTTCCTATGTTCCCCAGCTCAGATGACAGAACTATTGGTTGCTAATTAGCAAAACCTGAGGAATTAGCTTAAAGAAAAAAACCCTGAATTTTTAATTGGCTTGCATTTATTTTCTGTGGAAGGCTGTTGTGCTAAGCCCACTTGCATTCTTGTGTGCTAAAAAACTGCATAGATTTTTTTTCTACCTGTCTGTCTTTATATTAGGTGACTTTCCACATCCCTTTAGAAATACATCTTCTGAGTGAATGGAAGAGAGGATGTATATTTTACATATTTAATAGGTACACCTGCTCCTACTTCTCTCTCTTACTATCCAAGTGTCATCTCGAGACTGTGAGAGACAAAAATGCCTACAAGGCACAAATGAACAGTTTTGTCTTGACCAAACTGTAAAGGCAGTGACAGTTCCCTTAGCTCTTAGTTCTCTTCTCATCCAGACTGTCTTTTACCTCTTTGGAGAACAGTTGATGAGCCAATCAGAAATGCTTTGTGTTTTTCCCCCCTTTGAAAATTAGATCATTTAACCAGAAAGACTGATGTTGGATC